CGAGTGTCATTTCATTTCTTTAGAACTAAATTAACTTAATTATTTTCTCGTTATTTAACCTGTTCACATGATTTATGGATTTTAAATAAAGGGTACAAATCTTCGCGAGGATAATACGATATATTTGCTATACATAATAATTATATTTTGCATAATTTATACACAATACATTTTTGAACGCGTACACATCTCTACCAAAATTTGACCTATTCTTCGGGTTAAAGACACACATTGTCCGCTCTCTACTAATAATAAAATTATTATTACAAAACATTTTGATGATTTTGATTAAATGCTTTAAAATGTTTTTATAACACAGAAACAACGTTCTGAAAACATTAATAGGTGGTTCAGATTTGATTAAAATAAATATTTTTTTAACATTTATTTAAACATTTCTCAATATTTAAATAATAATATATTTAGTACAGTCATTGAAGCTGAAAATCAGCTGTAACCTCTGAATTCTTTGAAACTGCATGGATTTGCATGAAAATTTAGAATAAGGCTCATCTTAGGCTCAAGTTCAAAGGTGACGTAAGCCCGATTGACGCTTTTTGTTTTTTTAGAAATAAAAACTACCCGTAAGAGAAAAAAATTAAAAAAATTAAGTTTTAAGCATTTTATTGATAAAAATCTTGTTCAAGCACAAAGATTAAATAATGTTCTATGTTCTTGAACATGTTTTATGATATATTTGATCTTTTCGACCATTTATTTAACCCTTAAAAACTACCCCTACGCAAAAAATAATGGAAAAAAAATACTTTTTAAAGATTTGGAATGATTAAATCCTGCAATTATTTAAAATAAAAGCTACCTTATAGCTAATAAAAGAATTTTTTCCTTTCAACACCCCCTAAAAACCACCCCTGCATTGACAAAAATGATAAAAAATTACCCTTAAAATCTTGCAATGCTATAATTGTGCAATAATTCAAAATAAAAATTCCCTTATATTGTTTATGAAAGAATATTTTACTTTTGTCATTTTCAACTCTTATAAACTACCCATATTAACGTAAAATATTTTTATTATAATCGATTTTTAAATATAATCAATCATCATAAAAAAATTGCTACGCTAATAATCACACTAAATTTTGTCACTTATTTTATTTGTATAATATAATACATAAACTTCTGCAAAAAATTAAGGGAGCAAAAATTTTTTTCGAATTTTTAGTGATTTTCAGAATGTTGTATCTCAGTTAAAAATGAGCAAAAAATGCCCAATTGTGAAAGAATTGTAAATTTTGCTCCTTTAAATTTTTTTGAAATTTTGATAAAGCGGTCCGGAAAAACCGTTCGATAGATAGATATGCCCATTTACGGAGCTTTTGGGGGTACATCGAGATGTAAAAATTCGTACAAGCATTAGACTCTCCATCGATATTAGCAAAGATGCGGTCGACTTAGCAAAACAAGTCAAAAAGTCACTTTTTTCACTTTTTTCAAGTTAATGTCGAGGATGAAAAAAAATGTTTTTCTTCCAAGAACGCTACATAGCCCTGTAGGAAATTTATTCGAGATTTCGAAACTGCCCGTCAATTTTCTGTCTGATCATTAGTTGCTGAGATATCGATGGTTAAAGCCAAAAGGATGCTTTTGTATTCGTAGTCGAATATCTCCGGGTTAAATTAACGTAGAGAAAAATTTAAAAAAAGAAATTAAAGCTGAATGAACAGGCTATCAAGTCCATATAATGATTTTTGTGTAAAAAATTTTTCCAAGCCCGTAGATCGAGAAAAAAACGCAAAAAATTGAAAAAAAATTTTTTAGTCTTATTTCTTAGAATTTCGCGATGACTGTCGCTCCTAAAAATTTTGAGCTAAGAAATCTGGAAACTAGACATTCGGCGCTTTAAAATGCTTTTTTTAAAACCTTGATACGATCATTTTTAACTGAGATACAGCATTCTGAAAAATCACTAAAAATTCGAACAATTTTTTTGCTCCCTTAATTTTATTATATAAAAATGAGAAAGCCTATTTTGCTCCGAAAAATTGTCATTAGTTTTTTACCATAACTCGGTTAATTTTGAAGCTATAGTATCGTACAAAAAAGCATTTTAAAGATAATTTCAAGAGCTGTCAGATCGTTTGCATATAAAACCTTGTAAGTCCTTCGTTTTTTAAAGGGAAAGGATCGAAGGGCTTGGGACAAGTCGTTTTTTCACTAAACTGGATACTTCAAGTGGCGATATCTCCTTTATTTTTTATGCTATAGGAATAAAAAAAACAAAATATTTGTTGAAAAAAAAAGGTAAATTTTTGTTGTCTATCATTTTTTACGTATCTTTCATAGTTTCAGAGTAATTATAAGTATAAATAAGGCAATTTTTTTTTTAATAATGAAAAATACGTTTTCAACTATTACCGTACATTGTTCAAAAAATACGCATTCTAAACCGGTCTAACTTCAGGATCGTATGAAAAACACTAAAACAAAACTAATTGTAAAGGGTCTACGATTAATTTTAATTCTGATGGAAATGGTACAGCGTTTACTGCTCATTTTTTTGACGATAACTCCTTCAATTTTGCTCTAATTAACTTTTATAAGTGCTCATTTTGAAGGTATTTTTGAGTACTTCAAAAAACTCCCGGAGCGTTACACACGTAAAATTAATCCTTTTTCCGTTATTTGACGTTAAATACATCCATTCCAGTATTCCCCCAAAACAAGTCCCCTTCCATTAACCATATTTCGCTTTATATAGGACGTACAACACTTTTTAAAAACGATTTTCTTTGTTTATTTATAAGCTACATTTTTGTACATTACACTTTTTTAAATAAAATGCGTAGTTTTTGAGTTATTCGCGAAAAATAGTTTGAAAAAGTGTTTTTTTCACTCAAAATTCCAAGTTCTCATTCGTGAATAACTAAAAAACTATTGATTTCTCGAAAAAAATTTTCGAATGTTTTTTGCTCAAAATTTGATTATCTATCGATTTCCAGCGTTATTTTTGAAAAAAAATCCACCTCCGAGAAGGGGTGTCAACCCCCAACAAGGTGGAAGCGTCAATCGGCGTTGTCAGTAATATTCATTGACCTTTTCTCTAACTATCTGCCAAATTTCAAGTCGATGGGTTCAGTTTCAAAGAATTCGGAGGTGAAAAGTTTCAATAACTGTACTAATTGTCCAAAAAATAAGGTGAACTTGTTTAAAAAATTTTGAAGGGCCCAAGAACCAATAATGTATAAAATTAGTATTAAAGTTTAAAAAAATAAAGTTCGGTTATTTTCTAAGCACACCTCGTACATTATATTTATGCCCTGTAATAAAATTAAAGTTCTCAAAACGACAAAGTACTCCACAAACCCTAAGACACGTTGGAACTGATGTCTATTAAAAAAAAAACAGCGTAGCAATCGAAACTATCAATTTGGAATTCTCACCTCTCTGATTAGCATCTCCCTGTCGAGCTGGCCGAGTCCCAGTCCTGGTAGCTCGCAATCTCCTTTTACAGCGACTATCTTCTCCTCGAAGTTCGGACACTGCTCCCTAACTCTGTAAAATACTTCATCGTCGAAGAATTCTTGCATTCTGGTCCGAATATCCTTCCCCTTTTTGTCTCTGACCAACATAAAGACTTTGGAGATGTCGGGACAGGAGCTCAGCAGCTTTTCCAGCAGGAGGATCCCTATAAATCCTGTACCTCCGGTCAGTAATATTTTGGAACCGACGAAAAATCTTTGGACGGGTGTTAAGCTTCTTCCGTCGCTTCCGTGGGTCTTCCCCATTGTTGTGTGGTCGGATAAGTCACGCTCTGATAATAAAAAATAGATTCACTCCACGTTTCACTTACTCTGTGTGATACTCTAGGAATGGGAGTAATTGGACGTGGTTTATCATTACTGTAATGAGATTTTCTTATTTTTGTGTGATGAACCGTAGCCTCAAAAGCATAATTACCTTTGAAAAATATAATTTTCCTTTAGTCTAAAATTCTCTCACCTTTTGTTAACATTTCAATAAATGTTTGTGAACTTAAACGTTTTATGGTAATTATACATTTTTATTGTAAAAATATTACAAAATATTTATTTAATTATCGTACAGAAAATTACGTGGTATAAAAATTTTCCTCAGTTACATTTTTCACTTTCACAGCTTATGTAAGTATATCACTCTTAAGTTCCAATTCTTTTTCTCTTCAATTCCCTCGATTGTGATTCATTTTCTTCTTCTTCTTCTATAGTTTCGTTTCTCATATTTTCCACGCAATCAACTTCATTTCCAGATAATTCGTTGCATCAATGAGTGATTCAAACGCGTCAAAAGAATCATCGTCTAATTAGACATTTAAAAATTGTTTTTTACAATCGCAGACTTTATTTTTGCCACCGCTGACGCAGCTATGTGATACTTTTTTTCAAAGGTAATTATGCTTTTGAGGCTGTCGTAAATGTAGTATTTTGGTTTATCTCCTCGAGCTACCCCAGATTAAGTACAAAAGGATTTTTGTACGTGGTCCAGAAGTCGAGATAATGAAGATTTTGAAAGTAAGAGCGATTTTGAACGCGCGAATTCAGTTTTCGGAGCGGCCGAGTACCGGTTAGAACTGGCTAAAATGAACCACACTATTTTTTTATTAAAAACATAAGTCTTCAACTTCAAGCCCGCGGAATTAATTGAAAAAAAAAAAAAATATCTCGGCTCCAGAAGATCGTAGAGCAACGTTTTTTTAAAAAAAAAATCGCGTAAAAATGTCAGCAATCGATTCCTGTAATAGACATTATCGGGAAATGAAAATCGAAATGGATATTCAAGAAAAACACGAGCAAAAAATTTTTACTTTTTTCAGTCATTTTAATTTAAAAAAGGCACTTTTTTTCTTGTTGAGGGCTACATTTACAGTCGATTTTTGGCGGTTTTTTCGATATATCTCGAAAAGTAATATAACAAACGATATATTTATAAATACCAATCGATAGTTTTTTTTAATAGCTACAACTTTCTCACTCAACTTTTTTCGATTGGAGTTCAAGCTCTTTCTTATTAGTGAAAACCCGTTTTTTTGACTTTTATGAATTTTTTAGGTTAACTTCGCCGTTTATGCGCCACAGGAAAAAATAACTATCTTCCTTAGATTTTTTTTCCTATATCACCATATTTTTTGTTTCCAGGTGATATTTTTTGTAAGCTCTTCTACCTATTGATACTCTTTCACATGCTTCAATTGGACTCTACTTTCTGTGGATTAATGAGAAAAGTATATATACGGAGTATTCACTTATTTTATTTTTTATGAAATTTGAAATTAAACATACGAAAATTAATAAGATAAAAAAATAGTTTTAGTTTAGTTAAAACTGTATATCTTTGCTGAAGAAGTTGCATGAATAAACGTAAAACTTTATACTATAAAAAAAAACTTACCAAATTCCATCATTTCTCAACTCTAAATGTACGCTAACTACTACAAAGTTCCCTGCACTGATCGACCTTAAGTTGAAATATTCATATCTTTACTAAAACATCATTATTCATGATTTTACACTTTTGCAATTTAAATTACATAAACATAGGTACGCTCCTTATAAGAAAACAATGATATTTTATGATTTTCTTTGTAGAATAGATACTTATTAATTCCACATTGTCGATGCCCTCGAACTCCGAACCCGTACAATAACCACAACAAATTGACAAAAACAAGTTTTGATTCATCCTTTCGCCCTTAAATTTCTTGAACTCTGCTAAATTGGCAAAACTATTTCATCACAGTCACGTCTTAGTACACGAGACACCCTGATATCTTTTCAAACAATTTGAATATTTGAAATGTCATCTATGTACATCAATCAATTTAAACACAATGCACTTACACATATTATGTTAATTCTGTTCTCTTTAAAAGGCGTTGCCCTGTTTGGAAAATGTAATATGCATTAGCTGGAAGTTGTGCCAATAGTGCCAATGCTTAAAACATAAGAGTATTTACATGAACTGAACTATTCGCTTTACTTACAGAGTGAATTTTAGCCATATTAACGAGCGTTCAAATAAAAACGTGGTCGAAGTTGGCTCTGACACATTGGACGTAGGGTGTAGCTTTTAGCATAGCGACCAACTTAACCTCATTTCTCAACGAGCTGTATAACAGCTGTCAGTTTCAATAACGTTAGTGACTTTATAACTTTATTTTAAAGAATAATCGTGATAACAATAACAAACAATTAAAGGAGCTGCGAAAAGTGTCCCCCTCCTTGTTATAACAATAAATTAAAGCAGCCGCTGAAAGTGTCCCCCTCCTTGTTCCAAGCACTTTTCACACCTGTTCCTCAAAGAATTAAAGACATTTTCTAAGATGCTCGGGGTATTGTTAATTTCACGAATCTTGTCTATAAGTCGAGCCTGCAGATGGTTTAAATCAGGAATAGGCAGTTCAAAAATAGTGTTTTTAAGGTAAGGCCACAAAAAGAAATCACACGGCGTAATATCACATGACCTCGGTGGAAATTCATGTTCAGCATTGAGACTTATTAGTCGATTTTGGAAAACTTCCCTCAACATATTCATCGTCTCGCCTGCCGTATGTGCCCTTGCGCCATCTTGTTGAAAGTAAAAGTTTGTAATTTCGTTTTCTTCCAGCTGGTTAACAAAAGGAGCGACAATTTCTTCTCTATACCTTTGCGCAGTAAGAGTACCATTAAAAAAAATAGGTCCATAAATCTTCTTCGATTGAGAGCACACCAAACTCCAATTTTTTGAGCGTGTAGAGGGCCCTCGACAAAAAAGTTATCTGGTTTTTCAGAAGACCACATTCTCATATTCTGTGAGTTTACGTAACCACTTAAATGAAACCAGCCTTCATCAGAAAAAAGGTGATATTATGAAGTTCACTGTAGTTGTTTAAAAACCATTCACAAAATACAGCCCGTCGCGGAAAATCAACTTCATGAAGTTCTTGCTGACAAGTTAAACGATAGGAGAACAAACGCAAATCTTTTTTTAACACTGTGTGGCAGATACCGACTGATACTCCCACCATTTGTGATAAAACACGCACAGAAGTTCTTGGCGCATTTTCCATTATTTGTTGGACATTTTCTTTTAATTCTTCAGTCCGCTTTTTAGGTCGGCCGCTTCCTTCTTTTCTTGTTACACTGCCCGTTTCACGAAAAACATTAACACAACGCTGAACTGCACTTTGAAAAATGTTGTACTCAACAACGCCGGGAAATTGATTTTGAAATTCTGTGAAACATTCCTCAATAGAATACTTCCATATTCCATCAATCTTGCGTCCATTTCTAAAGTAGGACTCTATGATAAACACTTTTTGTTCTTGAGAAAACACCATTTTAAACGCTTTTTAAAACGAAAATATTCAAATTGATAGCGGCGATATAGCGCTTTGACAGATGACGTTTAAGTTCATTTGCTATACGCTACGCCCTACGTCCAAATTTTCAGAACCAACTTGACCACGTTTTTATTTGAACGCTCGTTATATGAGCCAGGACAAAAATTTTTGCGAGCTTTGTTCTTGTGCTAGAAACGGTTTCCACCAGACGGGCACAATCGCATTTGATTCAATGCAAAAAAATTTTAACAGTAAAGTACAAGATTTAATGCTGGCTGGTGTTCAATAAACGCGAGGCGCAGCCGAGTCTATTAAAGCAGCCAATGCATTAAATCTACTTTACTGCTAACTTAAACACATCATTTTGTCGCCGATCAATTTTAATCTTATCATAATAGCAGACAAGGCTAGTTATTTTATATTATTAAAATTGTATGATACTTCTTTCATGAATAATAAAAATTTCGTCAGGTCGTCTGTGCTTGCTATAAGACGAGCGTTATTAAGTAAATAACTTAGGTACAAAGTAATCGCCATGTTGTTCCTAAATCCATAAAAATAACTATTTTTTGTTTGAGATGGAAGAATTCACATTAACTCCGCCAGAAATTATTAAATCAGCAAAATAAATAGTGTTTTCACAGTTCGTTTTGGCATAAATTACTCTATCTTGATATGAGGTTATCCCTATTTATCTCTAACAGTTTTCCAGAAAAATCAGGTTATTTTCTAAAGTCCGAAAAGGTAGCTATGTAACAGCGTCAAGAAGGTCTTGCAATTGTATTCGTACAACGCCGATACATAGGATTTTACAAAAGTACAGCACAGCACATCCTTATCGCATCCAATTACACCAAGAGTTACTAAAAGTAGATTTTCAGCGGAGACGAGTTTTGTCAGTGGACACTTGAGATGTTAAATCTAGATATAGATTTTTTAAAACGGTTTAACGGTTTAAAAGTTCTTTAAACTTTTCATAAAAAGGGTTCCGTTAATAGCCATAATTGCCATTATTATGATACAGTAAATCCTCACCAATTTCAGACAACTCATACCCAACGATGGTCTTTGGAGCAATTTTGGGAACCCATGCCATTGGATCATTCATTTTTGACTAGCATCTAACTGGAGCAGTTTATTTAAACTTTTTAACAAACACTCTAGAACGGCGACTTTCCTTTACCTACACTTCCAAGAATGTGGTTTTTTGATTCGCGTAAAAAAACTGTTATTCACAGAAAAAAAAAAGGTTTATACAAAAAAGGTAGGTATTAAATAAGCCTATAAAATGAGACAAGTCCGATTAAATTCCGATAATTTGTTTATGCGCAAGAGCTCAAAAATGGTCGAAAATGGCCGTTTTTTTCGATTGCTAATAATTAATGCAATTTTCATCGCAGACACTTGTAATTCAGGATTTTTTAGACTTTTTACACCCTTAATAAGTGGTAAAAATTTCAACCCGAAAGCTTCATTGGTTTGGCGTAGGGTTTCTGATTCCCGGGAAATCTGGCCTTACTCGAGACGAGAAAACAGTGTCGAGAAATCGAGAAATTTAAAAATCACGCGTGTCTTAAGTTTTTGACTTGAGTTTTTGACTTGATTGTGCTTGTCTATGCCCTCCCCTCTCGCGCCGCACACCGCTACACGTTCGTTTAGTTCGTGCATTCAGTTCGTCTCTTGACAAATAGCTGAGCGGTTGAAATGATTTCTCGACTAGCTCGTGATTTATTTATTTTAAGTTTTTAAGGCTAATGAGCTAGTCTACTTTGATGATTCTGATTTTTTATGTACCTAGTTAAAAGACTGTGTAGAAATTTTATTAGCAGATACCTAATGTTGATTGTTGATTCTGAAAATATTTAGTTCCTGTTCCTTTAGTTAATTATTTTATTTTTGATTTATTAATTGTGATTATAAGTAGGTAGTAATAATAAAAAGGAAGAACGCTTCTGTATCTTTAAATTAAAACTTGTTTCTTTTTTAAATTTCTTCGGTTAGATTCCTTATCTGCTATTTGTTTAATTAAAAGACTGTGTGATTAATGATTATTAAATATTGGAAGGAAGCTAAGATCCAAAAATATTGAAATAAACATATTGAAAGTGTTTCATAAAAAGACAAATTAAAGGTTTTCAAGAAGATACGCAAAGTTAAATTTAGTTTTGTTAGTAGAAGTAGAGACATTTTTAAGTAATTAATAAAAAGACTGAATAAATAATAAATGTTGATGATGATAAGTATATCATCATTATGATATATTATTGTGTTATTATTGGTGTTATTATTTCGTATTGCAAGACCAAAATTATGACATTTTTTCAGTTTTAAAAATTTCTCGAAAATTCGAGAATTGCCGGGAATTCTTAGTCGAGAATTCTTGAGTCCCGAGAAGAAAAATAAGCCGAGAAATCAGAAACCCTAGTTTGGCGTTGGCCAAGAAAATGCTATTTTCAATTCATTTTTCCCAATCTCAAAGGCGTTGTATAGTTTGGATCATTAGTTGTTTTTGTACCTAAATAGTTGTATTAACATATGCATTTACTGAGAATTTTATATTTCAAATTTAATTTGTTTAAAAATGTTAATATTTATTCAATTGTTAAGATAGGTAATTATTATAAAATGAAATAGTAACCTCTATTCAAAGAAAATTCATAAACATTGAAGCTATTGTATTAACATTATTTCAACCCGAGATTTANCGCTACACGTTCGTTTAGTTCGTGCATTCAGTTCGTCTCTTGACAAATAGCTGAGCGGTTGAAATGATTTCTCGACTAGCTCGTGATTTATTTATTTTAAGTTTTTAAGGCTAATGAGCTAGTCTACTTTGATGATTCTGATTTTTTATGTACCTAGTTAAAAGACTGTGTAGAAATTTTATTAGCAGATACCTAATGTTGATTGTTGATTCTGAAAATATTTAGTTCCTGTTCCTTTAGTTAATTATTTTATTTTTGTTTTATTAATTGTGATTATAAGTAGGTAGTAATAATCAAAAGGAAGAACGCTTCTGTATCTTTAAATTAAAACTTGTTTCTTTTTCAATTTCTTCGGTTAGATTCCTTATCTACTATTTGTTTAATTAAAAGACTGTATGATTAATGATTATTAAATATTGGAAGGAAGCTAAGATCCAAAAATATTGAAATAAACATATTGAAAGTGTTTAATAAAAAGACAAATTAAAGGTTTTCAAGAAGATACGCAAAGTTAAATTTAGTTTTGTTGGTAGAAGTAGAGACATTTTTAAGTAATTAATAAAAAGACTGAATAAATAATAAATGTTGATGATGATAAGTATATTAGCGTGTTATTATTTCGTATTGCAAGACCAAAATTATGACATTTTTTAAGTTTTAGAAATTTCTCGAAAATTCGAGAATTGCCGGGAATTCTTAGTCGAGAATTCTTGAGTCCCGAGAAGAAAAATAAGCCGAGAAATCAGAAACCCTAGTTCGGCGTTGGCCAAGAAAATGCTATTTACAATTCATTTTTTCCAATCTCAAAGGCGTTGTATAGTTTGGATCATTAGTTGTTTTTGTACCTAAATAGTTGTATTAACATATGCATTTACTGAGAATTTTATATTTCAAATTTAATTTGTTTAAAAATGTTAATATTTATTCAATTGTTAAGATAGGTAATTATTATAAAATGAAATAGTAACCTCTATTCAAAGAAAATTCATAAACATTGAAGCTATTGTATTAACATTATTTCAACCCGAGATTTAATTTTTTATTTAGCCTTGCTCTTCCCACTCGTTCGCTAGACCGAGTGATAGAACGCATCGCCGCTATCTTCTTTTTTGCAATTAAATATTTGAATTCACCTTAATGTTAATGTAGGACATGAAAATATAGCTCTTAATGTATAGATACTATCACCAAATTTCGGCTCTTAATAATGCGATTAAATAAATAAAAAATTGTCTCAGCTTCTAATAAACTTAGAACAACGATTTTTTTTTTAAATTCGAAGAAAAATAGTACTAACTAAACTATATACGTTACTATTTCATTTTATAATAATTACCTATCTTAACAATTTAATAAATATTAACATTTTTTCAGTAATTTTTAAACAAATTAAATTTGAAAAATTAAATTCTCAGTGAATGCATAATGTCACTACAACTATTTAGGTACAAAAACAACTAATGATCGAAACTATACAACGCCTTTGAGCTTGGGAGAAATCAGTTGAAAATAGCATCTTCTTAGATAACAAATTCCGCCAACGCCAAACTAATGAAGCTTTCGGGCTGAAATTTTTACCACTTATTAAGGGTGCAAAGACCTTCCAAAATCCTGAATTACAAGTGTCTGCGATGAAAATTGCATTAATTATTAGCAATTGAAAAGAACGGCCATTTTCGATCATTTTTGAGTTCTTGCGCATAAACAAATTATCGGAATTTAATCGGACTTGTCTTATTTTACAGATTTATCTAATACCTACCTTTTTTGTATAAACCTTTTTTCTGTATGAATAACAGTTTTTTTACGCGAGTCAAAAAACCACTTTTCCATAACTTTGACCATTATTTTAATAAAGTTTCCCCAACTAGTCTCGAGTTGATTTTTTGATATTTTGTTTATAACACGTTTCTGAACAATATTCCGCAAAAAAACTTCTAATAGCATTTTTTTCCCGAAAAAAAGCTATAATGACTAGCCTATTAATCAAAACTGCGCAATAGATGTAAATCAGCGGTCCAAGTATTCTTCTCCTTGTTGGGTTTCGAGTTTCAATTTGTTTCGTTTTGCGTTTTTAGTTGTTAGTGGTTTACTTTTGTTTGTCAAACCCCTTTTTAAACATGCCAGTAAATATTGACACTGTCAGTCCCAGGCCTAGGCCTGATAAAATGTGAAAGAAAAGTGGTTTTGCAAGGCCTTCTTGACGCTGTTACGTAGCTATTTTTTTCGGATAGAAAAGAACCTAATTTTTCTGGAAAACTTTTAGAGATAAGTATGGACAACCTTATACCAGTCGAAAGGGCATTTAATTTTGCATGTACCCATGACAATTAATATGGGTCATTACATTTAAAATAAAATGTTTTTCTACTCGTAAGATTATTAAATGTAGGTGTCGTTATTTCCGAGTCTGAATAAGGTACACGTTTTACTCACAGATGACAAGATAGTGTAATTTATGCCAAATTGAACTGTGAAAACTGCAGGTTTCTAACTCGTACGGTTTAGAGGCTATCTAACCTCATTTAGAGAGCTGAAATCGTGATTTTTTTCAAAAACAACTGAATATCTCGAAAACGGTAAGTTTTAAACACCATGTACATTTAATATAACAAATTCCATTTAAAATATCAAGTTATGTAGCGACCACGCGAAATGGAGCACCCTGTAAAGCTAAAAATATTTTGTTTACATGGCCTACATGATTCCAGGCAACTTTTATTAAAGCCATTTTTTTTATAAATTTTACAGTTGCAGAGTTACAAAAGAGTCACTATATTTTGCTGAAAGGGTTGTTTTCACCATGGATTAATACGACCACATTGAAGAAGCAGAATACTCTTTCGAAGAATTTTCACCAAAATGTTTTGATTCCGTGTTTCTTGCACCATTCCATGAATATGTCATAATGGCGGTTGTATTTTTCAACTAATTTTTGTGGTAGAATTTCTAAACGCGTTTCTAACGACTTTTTCAAAATGTCAGAAGGCACGTCTTCTTCCACATCATTTTCTATACTGTTGGGGCTGTGACAGCGACAAACGATTTCTCATGAATGATGAATGTCATACAGCAACGGATATGTTGATAAATATTTGCGTCAATACTTGATTTTTACAGTAAAATAAAGTTTGTTTACTTCCAGAAATCGCTATAGCAAGGCTCTATTGACTGTTAGCGATAAATTTATTATTGCCGTTTGTTTGAAGCACAAATTTAGTTTTTTATTTGTCAAAAAAGTGAGGTTAGAAAACATCGCAAAACAACTGCAGCGCTTTTTATGCCCAGAGCCATTATTGATATTCCGTAAAACTAATTAATGACGATTCAGTGCGCTTAAATCGTCGAATATTTTCCAATTTATTTAAAAATTTCCTCTTTCTCTACAATAATCTAGGTATTTCTATTACTAAACTTAATTTAAATTAATTATTCAACTATTTCCATACATTTATACTCACGTGGTTAGATAAATCGCATATGCATGCACGGGTACCTCGATTTAGTAATTTACAGTCCCATACGTTATGCGTCATTAACATTAAAACAGACGCGCAACCGGGCAGCGCGCTGTAATCTACTTTCACGCAGTAGCCTATGCGCCATTGTCCGACGAGCTGTCAAACGGCGTTCTGTGTTCACTAACGCGCGTCGCCATGTTAAAACCGCGTCACATTTGTACTCTACCGGTGAGAGACACGTCGGGCCTACCCAAGCTGCCCCCCAACGCCAGTTGGACCAAAAGATGCTGCAGGAACATCAGGAAACTCTTCCTGATGAACCCCAACCACTTCAAGTGCAACAAACTGTTCCGCAATAAATCATCCGTGTTAGGTGAAAGGAAGAGGCACGCCAACAGCCCCTACTCTCTGGTGATCCACCCTCTCAGCACGCTCAACACCATCCTGGAAATTGTGTTTGTATTGACGTGGTTCTATTCGCTGATTATGGAACCGTTGACGGTCTTCAGCAGCAACTTCAGCAAGTACTTGAAGAAGTTACAGTTTGTAGCGGTGGCTCCCATTCGGCTCACTTTGATCATACTCCTCTTCAATGTCGGTTACATCGACGAGAGAACCAAGAGGGTCATCATCGAGCGTAAGAAGATCATCCTGAGGTATTTGAGGACATTCTTCTTTTTCGATATTTGTACCAGCGCTTATCCTCTGTATTTTATGAAGACTCTGTCGATGAAAGGTCTGGTTAAGTGCTCCTCGCGTCACATAAGGGAATCGTACTGCTTCGAAGTGTTGTATGTCTTACGCATACTATGTTGCTGGGTCAGAATAAACACCTTGCTAACTTTCCTGAACGACACGTTGGCCAATGTAAACGTGAGGAAGACGTTAAGGATATTCGTCACTCACTTGATCAGAACCTTCATCTACCTGCACTTGAGCGCCTTTCTTCTGTACTTCGTGCCTTACCTCTTCCACAGAGGGGACTGGCCGAGGGAGTCGTGGTTGACCGAGGCCAAGATCACCCACAGCGAGGATCTGAGTTTCCAGTACTGCCAGTCGCTACTCCTGGCCATGTGCTACTTCTTCGGGATCTCGTACGATTTCCACATAGAACTGATCGACGAACAGATATGCATCATCGTCATCACCCTATTCGGGAGGCTGTACACGCTGTACCTCCTCGCCGACATCCTGAACATATTCGGCATCGTGGGCATCTCCGAGAGTATGTACGAGAAACAGCTGTCTCGCCTCCAACAGTACATGGCTGCCAAACACCTGCCGGAGAACATGCGCCAGAGGATGCTCAAGTACTACGAGTTCAAGTTCCAAAAGCGCTTCTTCAAAGAGGCGGAAATCATCAACACCCTGTCCCAGCACCTGCGCACTGAACTATTCCTGTTCACTGCCAGGAAGTTGGTGCAAAAGGTGGATTTCTTCAAGAGACTGCCGACTGCGGCGATCGGCACCCTGATAGGCGCCATGAATTCCGAGACTTACTCCCCCAGGGACGTGATCATCAAGCTGGGCTCGGAATCAGACGACATCTTCTTCATATCCACCGGCACCGTGGCGCTGATGAACAAGGAGGGCGTGGAGCTCTGCCACCTGGAGGACGGCGAGGAGTTTGGGACCACCTGTTTCATCGCGAAGGAGCAGATGTTCACCGTGGTGGCGGTCGAGACAACCGAGGTTTTTACCATATCCAAGGAGAAGTTTCTGGAGTTCCTGAAACCCAATCAGGACGTGGTGAACGTTTTCATTAGTTCGGTGAGAGCCAAAGTGGCCAGGTTGAAGGCTCTGGAAGGGAGGATCGTCACGGGGATTGACCTGCTGACGGACCTCCGCAGCGGAAATATCTTGGAGGGTCGCACTAGACGACTTATCGATAACAAACTGGTTTCTTGAAAGGTTTTGGTGTTGAATAATTCGTTTTTTGTTTTGATGTTGAATTAGCCGTAAGATTGACTCGTATTATGAGTTTAAACAGATTTGTATTGTTAGGTTTCATTATTCTGTAAGCGAAAAGTGTGAAAATAAAGGATCGTGTTTGATTAAGGCTGTTTTTGTATGACGAAAAAAATAACGCACGTTGTAACTTTTATAAAAAAATATTTTATTAAAATTACAAAAATAGTGTATTTAAAGACAATAAATACGATTAGTTCTTCCTAATATATCAAATCCACATTGGAAAGTGGGTTAAAAAAAAAAATAAATTCTGTAACGCGGATAAAAATTGAAAAATTTTATAAAATGTCATTATGTTATCTTGACAACACAGTATGTAGTCCAATCAATTTGTCACGACCTAATATTAAATTTACAAAAAATGCCACGTGGAAAGAAAAAATATGGTAATATAGGAAAAAAAATTCTAAGGAAGATAGTGTTTTTTCCCTGTGCCGCATAAACAGCGAAGTTAACCTAAAATATTCATAAAAGTCAAAAAAAAAAACGGTTTTGCGCTAATAAGAAAAAAACTTGAACTCCAATCGAAAAAAGGTAAATGAAAAGTTGTAGCTAGAAAAAAACCTATGGATTCATTCGTATTTTTAAATACATCAATTGCTGTATTATTTTTCGAGACATACAGGGTGATCTCGAGGTAGTGGGCCAAAATTCATGGGTAAATTCCCGAATCAAAAATATTGCGATTTAGCCGAACTTACCTTAGTCCAAAAGTTGACAGTTAAAGAGATACAGGGTGTTAAATGTAAACTATTATTTTAGTTTATTTCCATTTATTTCTTGATAAATGCAAATATCTACAAAAAATTTTGGGGTTTGGGGTACTTTGGGTAGAGGAACTGAAATTTGTGCACATTTTGGTTATACTTCATAGAGGGCGCCAGCTGTCGTAGATTGAATATGTTGAAAGCGACTTAACGTTTTTGTACTTTAAAGTATCTAATCTTTGGTATCAAATTCTTATTTTCCAACTTTTTTTGCACAAAAAAGGCATACTTTATGAAAGTAGCTGTCTCGCACCGTTTTCGAGATATTTGGCTTTGCAACTTCCAATGCTAATACTTGAAATAATTAAAATAATTTAGAAATATTTAAAATTAAAAATTGTAATGAACAGTAAAACAGTAAACATTAGTAAAAACATATGCCTTTTTGACAATAATTACTTAAAATATCCACCTCTAACTTCAATACATTTATCAAAACGCTTATTAAAAAATTGTCTTATTTTTAAGTATAAATCTTTAACGCGAAATGATTTTGTAGCATTTAAAATCTGCTGCTAAAGTTCGTCTCAGTTGTTTATAGTTTCTCCGTAAAACAACTGATTTCATGTCTCGGCATTCTATCTCACATTTATGTATACGAGTATACAATTTAAATTGTAAGCTAAGATGTAATTTTAATTAGGTACAAATAATACTTAATAGAAATGAGCATACAAATGACAATAAGGAAAGCGTAAAACGTCAATTATTTGATTTTCGTCCAAATCCTACTTAAGAAACTTTACCGCTAAATTAATAATACCTGTAGGTACTTAATTGTAATTTAATGCAACAGCATTGGAAGTTTCAAAGCCAAATATCTCGAAAACGGTGCGAGATAGCTACTTTCATAAAGTATACCATTTTTGTGTAAAAAAAGTTGGAAAATAAGAATTTGTTACCAAAGATATCTTAAAATACAAAAAAGTTATGTCGTTTTTAACACATTCAATCTACTGCAGCTAGCGCCCTCTATGAACTTTAACCAAAATGTGAACAGATTTCAATTCCTCTATCCAAAGAACCCCAAACCCCAAAATTTTGTGAGGATATTTGCATTTGTTAAGGAATAAATGAAAAAAAAAAACACCCAAAAACACAAAAACACCCTGTATCTCTCTCAGCTAAATCGCAATTTTTTTGCTTGGGGAATCTATCCATGAATTTTGGCCCATTACCTCGGGACCACCCTGTATCGAAAAAACCGTAAAAAATCGACTTTTTTTTTGTATCTCTTGCAAATTAAGGTTTTGAAACTTGTTACTTGCTGTAAATATAGCCCCATGCAAGCAAAAAAGTGTCTTTTTTTGATTAAAATATATTAAAAATTTTTCGAGTTACATCGATTTTTCGAAAAAAAAAAGTCATCTCAAAAATCGGCTCTTCTTGCTCGACGAATAGTCGTAAAGAAACGAATCAGGACTCATTTTTTTTCCTTAAAAGTTGTACTTTCATGGTAAAAAGAGTGAAAACGATTTTATTAATTTCAAGTGTCCAAAAATGACTGAAAAAAAGTATAATTCTTTTTCGATTTTCATTTCTCGATATAATGAAAAAAAATTAAATTAAAATATAATAATTAAAAAAAACGTTGCTCTACAACCTTCTGGAGTCGAGATATTTTTTTCAAAAAATTCCACAGACTACTATTTAAATGCTTCAACGTCCATTCTTATAGCTGTTTTACATTGACAATTTATTGATCAATTAATTCATGAAGTCGCTTCATCAAGAAATTGGACAAGTGTAATGCACCAAATCTGCTGTCAATCAAGTTCTTGACGAATTAGAGCATGTTCTAATTTTCGTCAATTTCTTCGTGAAGTTCGGAAGTACCAACCCAACAGATTTCCAGCCCCANAAATGACAGCAATAAGACAAGTGGAAAACGTCAATTATTTGATTTTCGTCCAAATCCTTCTTAAGAAACTTTACCGCTAAATTAATAATACCTGTAGGTACTTAATTGTAATTTAATGCAACATCATTGGAAGTTTCAAAGCCAAATATCTCGAAAACGGTGCGAGATAGCTACTTTCATAAAGTATACCATTTTTGTGTAAAAAAAGTTGGAAAATAAGAATTTGTTACCAAAGATATCTTAAAATACAAAAAAGTTATGTCGTTTTTAACACATTCAATCTACTGCAGCTAGCGCCCTCTATGAACTTTAACCAAAATGTGAACAGATTTCAATTCCTCTATCCAAAGAACCCCAAACCCCAAAATTTTGTGAGGATATTTGCATTTGTTAAGGAATAAATGAAAAAAAAAAACACCCAAAAACACAAAAACACCCTGTATCTCTCTCAGCTAAATCGCAATTTTTTTGCTTGGGGAATCTATCCATGAATTTTGGCCCATTACCTCGGGACCACCCTGTATCGAAAAAACCGTAAAAAATCGACTTTTTTTTTGTATCTCTTGCAAATTAAGGTTTTGAAACTTGTTACTTGCTGTAAATATAGCCCCATGCAAGCAAAAAAGTGTCTTTTTTTGATTAAAATATATTAAAAATTTTTCGAGTTACATCGATTTTTCGAAAAAAAAAAGTCATCTCAAAAATCGGCTCTTCTTGCTCGACGAATAGTCGTAAAGAAACGAATCAGGACTCATTTTTTTTCCTTAAAAGTTGTACTTTCATGGTAAAAAGAGTGAAAACGATTTTATTAATTTCAAGTGTCCAAAAATGACTGAAAAAAAGTATAATTCTTTTTCGATTTTCATTTCTCGATATAATGAAAAAAAATTAAATTAAAATATAATAATTAAAAAAAACGTTGCTCTACAACCTTCTGGAGTCGAGATATTTTTTTCAAAAAATTCCACAGACTACTATTTAAATGCTTCAACGTCCATTCTTATAGCTGTTTTACATTGACAATTTATTGATCAATTAATTCATGAAGTCGCTTCATCAAGAAATTGGACAAGTGTAATGCACCAAATATGCTGTCAATCAAGTTCTTGACGAATTAGAGCATGTTCTAATTTTCGTCAATTTCTTCGTGAAGTTCGGAAGTACCAACCNAGAAATTAGCATACAAATGACAGCAATAAGACAAGTGGAAGACGTCAATTATTTGATTTTCGTCCAAATCCTACTTAAGAAACTTTACCGCTAAATTAATAATACCTGTAGGTACTTAATTGTAATTTAATGCAACAGCATTGGAAGTTTCAAAGCCAAATATCTCGAAAACGGTGCGAGATAGCTACTTTCATAACGTATACCATTTTTGTGTAAAAAAAGTTGGAAAATAAGAATTTGTTAACAAAGATTTCAATTCCTCTATCCAAAGAACCCCAAACCCCAAAATTTTGTGAGGATATTTGCATTTGTTAAGGAATAAATAAAAAAAAACACCCAAAAACACAAAAACACCCTGTATCTCTTTCAGCTAAATCGCAATATTTTTGCTTGGGGAATATATCCATGAATTTTGGCCCATTACCTCGGGACCACCCTGTATCGAAAAAACCGTAAAAAATCGTTTTTTTTTTTGTTTCTCTTGCAAATTAAGGTTTTGAAACTTGTTACTTGCTGTAAATATAGCCCCATGCAAGCAAAAAAGTGTCTTTTTTTTAATTAAAAAATATTAAAAATGTTTCGAGTTACATCGATTTTTCGAAAAAAAAGGTCATCTCAAAAATCGGCTCTTCTTGCTCGACGAATAGTCGTAAAGAAACGAATCAGGACTCATATTTTTCCTTAAAAGTTGTACTTTCATGGTAAAAAGAGTGATAACGATTTTATTCATTTCAAGTGTCCAAAAATGACTGAAAAAAGTAAAATTTTTTTTGGTCGCATTTTTCTTGAATATCTTTTTCGATTTTCATATCTCGATATAATGAAAAAAAATTAAATTAAAATATAATAATTAAAAAAAACGTTGCTCTACAACCTTCTGGAGTCGAGATATTTTTTTTCAAAAAATTCCACAGGCGACTATTTAAATGCTTCAACGTCCATTCTTATAGCTGTTTTACATTGACAATTTATTGATCAATTAATTCATGAAGTCGCTTCATCAAGAAATTGGACAAGTGTAATGCACCAAATATGCTGTCAATCAAGTTCTTGACGAATTAGAGCATGTTCTAATTTTCGTCAATTTCTTCGTGAAGTTCAGAAGTACCAGCCCAACAGATTTCCAGCCTCAGATCAGTAATGAGGTTATGTCATTGGAATATGTAAATAATTCTGTGGCGTCGTACTAGTTTTGCATTGTTTTTACTGATTTGTTACTTACAAACACTAATATTCATATAATATGTGTCAAAACGATACCGCTGTTATATCACTACAATTATGAGTGGAAAGGTGACATTTTTGAAATTTATTTGCTTCTTTTATTCGTTGGTAGAACTGATTCATACGTCAAAAAACTTGATAAAGTCTGTAGCAGTGTAAAACCAAACTGTTTACCAATAAATTCGTGAATTAATTCATGAAGAACTTCGTTCATGAATAAATTGTCAATGTAAAACAGCTATTACAGAGATTGAAGTTGAAGACTTATATTTTCAATAAAAAAATACAATTATTGTACAGAAAATTAAGTGGTATGAAAATATTCGTCGATTACATTTTTTATTTTCACAGCTTATGTTTGAATTCTACTTCTCTTCAATTCACTCGATTGTGATTCATTTTCTTCTTCCATCGTTTCGTTTTCTGTATTTTCCACGCAATCAACTTAATTTTCCACATAATTCGACCCATCAATGAGTGATTCAAACGCGCCAAAAGAATTATCGTTTAATTGGATGTTTGGAGTTTCAAAATTTTCACATTGGGATGCATTACAATGTAAACAAACACTTGTACATTTCAAAAAAATGTGAAATTAAATAACGTAATCGACGAATATTTTTGTACCACGTAATTTTCTGTAACGATAATTAAATAAATATTTTGTAATACTTTTATAATAGAAAAGATATAATTACCATAAAACGTTGTACTTAAATAATTTTTTTTGCTTGCAGAGGGCTACATTTACAGCAAGTAACAGGTTTAAAAATTTTTTAGGTTAACTTCGCCATTTATGCGCCACAGGAAAAATATACTGTCTTTCTTAGATTTTCTTTTCCTGTATCACCATATTTTTTGTTTCCTGGTGTTTTTTATAAGTGAAGTCTGGTACTTTGAGTCTCGGATAAACTTTGGTTAAGTAATCACATGATTAGACTGTACATAGGTATACTGATTTATTTTATCAATTCAGTCTAATCACCTTATTAGTTAATCAAGTCTCAACCGAGACTCACAGTCCCGGGACTAAGTGAAAGAAACAATTTCTTCCAAGAAATTTGAAAACCCCGCCATGTTCACAGACCCACAGGACAAAGAAGAATCTACTCCTTTTCAATATGGCTGACTTCATCAAGATAAACATTGATTGAATTGAAACAATATTTATGAAATAAATGTAGGTCCTTACTAATTTGTATCATACTGTGGTGACGGTTTATACAAGATGTAACAATGACGATGCGACAAACTTCCAAGAAAGCTTTTTATTTGTTTGTAATGAGCAATCAGCCCCAAAAGTTTGTCGCAACCTCCCAGTAGACAGTATCAACCGTATCTTTGTCATGTTAAACGAATACTTAACAAAAAAAAAAATCAATACATTTTCAAATTAAAACGCCCCAGCGAAATACCCAGGCCAAGCTATGTTTATAACGATGGCCGCGCCCATCAGGAGTATATAAAGGACCAGGGCCACCCACCAAATATACTTCTCGGTCTTGGTCTGCTGCAGGTTCCTCAGGATGTAGATCCCCACCAGTAGACCCGCGATGGCGCCCCCCAGGTGAGCCGCTATACCCACGGGACTCTGAACCTTCAAGAAGTACCTGTCGTAGATGGACTGGCCCAAGTCGCACGCCACGATCACGATGTAGACGGTGATCTGGACGTAGGGGAACATCATCTCGCTCCAGTTCTGCAAGTCAAAAGTCGGAATCGAATTTAGGGCGATTCGCAGTACATTTCATTTACCATAATGGCGCAGGCTATGTGAGCCGTTAGAAGAGCGTATACGCCGCCGCTGGCCCCGGCCAGGCGACATCTGGGGTCGGTTATGGAGTTTGCGAGGGATCCCGCTAGCACGCCGGCGAAGTACACCACCAGCACCCTCCACCCCTTGTGGACCATCTCCAGGGGGACCCCCAGCACCAGCTGCACGGCTAAATTTACCAGGAGGTGAGTGTACCTGCGGAAAATGGTGGGTGCGTTAAGTTGAAAAGTTGTAAATTAATCGAAAACAAACTTATCAAACAACAAAATTAAACTGTGAACATTTTTTTAAGCTTACCCTATGTGGACGAACATGTAAGTGAGGTACCTCCAGACCTCGTGCCGCCTCTGGGGGTCGTAGATGAAGATCTGGGCGGTCACCCCCGATCCGCTCAAGGTGGAATTCTTCTCGGTGATCTCGTCGGTCAGGTGAAACGCCACCTCCAGGATGGAGATCAAGAACATGAAAACCGGAGGAGGACAGCACGTGTACTCGTCGATGAGTTGTCGGTCCTCAACTCCATACACAGCGGCTCGCTTTTGACGCGGGACTATGAAGTTTACGTAACTACAAGAATACGCGGTGTTCTTAAGATAACGCTACAAGTATTACAAAGGTCACCTCGTTACGTATTGCCCAAAAAGGTGTTGCAGATCAGGGTGTTCCAGCATGTTCACGAATTCCCTGTAGTCTAACTTCTTGTCGCCGTTATCATCGGCCATCTTGTGGATTTTCTTGACCACGTGCCTCGGTACGATATTTGCCTCCTCGTTGGAGGAGTTGATGAAGTCCTCCAGCTCCCACACGCAGATGTAGCCGTCATTGTTGGTGTCGACCTGATTGTACAAAGGAAGAGATCTTTTTTGTTCGTCTATAATCAACAATTTTTAGAACCCCTTTAATGATACGCCCGTGGTATCTAATTACCGCAAGCTTCACCCGTCGCAAGTCGCAAGGATCTACGTGTTGAGTAAAAGTCACCGGCTACTATTTAGATTTTGGAGTATAAGTTATGTAAAAAGGTAAGTAATATGGATAATTTACTTTAACTTTCTGTAAATTTGACGCTACTATTAATCAAAGGATTATCTCAGTGAGTAATACAACTGAAAAGCCATTAAATTCTAAGAAACATTTGTAATACCACATAGAATACATATAGCTTATCACTTCAGACCGCGTGTTAAATGCTGGAAATAACCGAAACGAAACTTCCTTTAAAAAGACATGGGATTTATCATTTAAAAAAAAATTAAAGTGGGTTATTCTGACTATGAAAAATAAAATATAATTAAAGTGTATTGTTCAAATAAGAATATAATGTGCAAGAAGTGGATGGATTAGATGGTGCATATGTGTGGATTTGCTGTGTATGCATCTAGCACAGACAAAATAGCTATCGCCACAGACCGCTCCTGGAATAGACCAACAGTTTTAAATTTCCGAATTGCCGGTAGAGTACACCACCAGCAGAATTTTAGGAAGAATCAAATACAGCGGCCCGCATACCTAAGCGTATCCTAGCAACATATAAACAAGACTTTGGTAATGTTGCCAGGCGTACTTACGGATTTCTTTTGTACACTTTTTTATCAATATCTGTTTTTTGCGTTACTGTATTTACTTCAATGTATGATGTAGGTATTGATAAAAATGTTTTTAAAGAATCAACGAATATCTATGTATGTATCATATGATATTCTGCAGTGGTGTTACAATTAAGTTATTTAATCATAATTTCGTTAATTAGCTACCTACTATTTTCATTTTTTGGTATTGAAATACTGCAGAAAATATATTTCCAAATAAACAAAATTCGTAATAATATTTTAAACAGCTTGTAATATAATTTTTTTAATATTTGATGATGACGATAAATTTATTTAATATACAAGGTGGGTTATTAGTACGTCGCGGAATGTAGGTACAGGTTTTTTTTTGTATTTTGACATCCACTTATAGGTTTAATAATTAAAGATAGAAAGAAACTTTAAATACAAATGTACGACTTTTCCTTTATTTCATTTGACATCAAAATTTACTGGCATAAAATATATATGTTTAAAATAAAAAAAATCATTAAAAAAAATTAAAATTCATCCTTATGAAAATAACAAACAACGCTTTTTATAACTAACCTTTACAACAACATAAGGAGAATAACTAAAAACGAAATAACATTAATATACCTACAATTTTTACAAATCAACATGCAAGTGATTGTGATGATACAGTTGAAAATATGTTTCAATTTACTATTAATTGCTTCAAAAACAAATTCAAAATTATCAAGCATTTCGTCCTGTTTTTTTTTTCAATACTTGCAAATTTTCAGGTAAAAAAAATATGTCTAAAGGACTGACAATGAGATCGGGGCTGTTTTCTGGCCACCTAAGGTTTCTAATAATATTTTTTAGTGTTCGTTGACGGGATTCTTCCTCCAAAATAAATTTGCCAATATTCCTGAAGAACTTTTGCACATTATTGTTATTTGAATAATACAGTTAATTATGTTTTATTTTTCGTCATCAGAATAACCCATTGTAATTTTTTAAATTTTTTAAATTAAAATGGGTTATTCTAATAATGATAGATCCCATGTATTTTTAAAAGAAGGTTCGTTTCTGTCGTTTTTGTCTGATTGTGTGCGAGAGAGATAGAGTTATAGTCTGCGATAGACATAGAGTGACTCTGTTCTCATAGAGAGCTTATCTCTCTTTCTCTCTGCTGTCTTCAGAAGTCTCCCCAGCAATTTCAGGACACCTAGGGAGGGAACGTGGGGTAGAGTGCGAGGCCTTGTTAAGCCTGCGTTATCGATCTATGATGTCACACAATATAAGAAAAAAAAATGGCTTTTGCTCGTAACTCGGAAATGGCTGGAAATATAAACAAATTTCCCCTTGGTTCTGAGTAGAGCACTCGGTGGGTGACGCAGAGCAGGGTGTCACAATATATGAAAGAAAAAAGAACAGTATTTGCTTAGACTCTTAAGTATCAAAACATCTCCCATGGTGAACGAGTGAAATACGTAAAAACCCGCATGTCAAAAAAAAATCGGGACCAACGGTGTGTGACGTCATAGGATAAAAAAGTGTTAATAACTCGGAAACGGTGCATTGAATCGAAAAAATAATTGAAAAATGTCAACCCCTTCCTCCCGGGTTCTGTATGTTCCTTCTGCGTTGAATGCAAAAGGTCCGAAGTCCGTATGTCGAAAATAAATTCTGGAAACAAGAGGTATGTCGTGTTATAGTAAAAAGGCCGTATAACTCGGAAACGGTGCGTTAAATCGAAAAAATAATTGAAACAATCTCCCCACACCCCTGGTTCTGTATGACAGTTCTGCGTTGAATGGAAAAGGTCCGAAGTCCGTATGTGGAAAATAAATTTCGGAAAGAAGAGGTGTGTGAGGTGATACAGGAAAAAAGGTCTTATAATTCGGAAACGGTGCGCTGAATTGAAAAAATAATTAAAAAAATCTCCCCACTACTCTGGTTCTGATTGTCCGTTCTGCGTTGAATGGAAACGGTCCGAAGTCAGTATGTCGAAAAACAAAAAAGTTAGTTAGTTAAAAATTGCAACAGCAGTAGCAAACGCATTATCTTATCTCTGTATTGATTGATGATTTGTTGTTTTTTTTTAAATAAATTTCGTATTCAACTACTCCTTGAGGTTCCAGCAATTTTACATTGTGTCAATCTTTTTGAACACCTTGTGTCACAAATATGGGCACTACCAATGACATCCATAACATGCAACACTTGTGTCAATAAATAATTATTTACCTATCTAAAGAAATCAACAATAAGAGGCAGTACCCATCTAAGGATATACAATCTGTATAATGCAATTTTTTTAAACATAGGTTTTGATATTGTACCATATTGGAAGTCGACCCACAAATCTATAAACATTACTTTCGAGTTTTTGAATTTTCCCATTCCAATGTGATATAAAATAAATAATTAATTAGGTAAATTCATAGTTTTAATTCTAACTTGATTTATTTTATTTAACATTTAAGGCAAATGTGATTTCCAAACACAAGATAAGTTCCATATCTCTTTAATTGCATAATTGAAAGCATTACATTTGTTTAACAGTTATTATTTGGCAACAAAGCCACAGCTGGAACTGCCGCCTATTAGCAAGTAGAAGAGTTACCACGCTAATTTTTGTAGCTGGAAGCCGACTAAGGAGACCCTGCTTCCATTTCGGGTCGCCAATTTCCAGCATTTAAGTAGCAGTCTGTAGCGATACGCTATATTGTCTGTGGTAAACATAAGTTGACTACAAAAACAAATTACAAAAACTCG